GGGGGGGGAAGGATAAGTAGTGAAGTAAAAAAAGTTTACTGCTGAAAAACTGAAAGTCACTGAGAAGCATGAAAAAACCATCACATTACTGAATGATCAGACATTAGATAGGTAGATGACATTCAATTTAATAACTATGAAGTCATGTACCCAGGGAAACACAACCCTAGTTTTACACAGAGGAGGTCTTTGAACTAGTTATTTCTATTCATGAAGGAGACCCTACAGCTATAATAGATTTTTCTATGAAAACACCAGTAAAATACTCTCAAACTCAGTGCTATGAATTATTAGGAAAGGCACAGGGAACAAAACAAGGAACACTATTATGCTACCATATAAACCAAAATTGCATCCATCTCTTGCATACTAAGGATAGTTCTAACCCCTGTTCCTCCTCCCTTCTCAAAAGGCATATAGTAGAACTGGAAAAAGTACAAAGAAATGCTGTAGAGATGATCAAAGGTATGGAACAGCTTATATATTGAGGAATGACTAAATAAAGAAGGACTCTTCAGCTTGGAAAAAGGATAACTGAAGGGAATATGAAAAATAACTATAAAATCACGAGCTTCAGGGAGAAGGAGAACAGGGAACAATTATTCACCTCTCATGATACAAGACAGGAAAAACCAAATGAAGTCATCAGGTGGGCAGGTTAAACAAACAAAAGGAGGTAGTTTTTCTCATAATTAAATTGTGGGTGCCTTCTTACTATGGGAAGCTAAGGATGCCAAAAATTTACAGGGGTTCAAAAATGATTAGACAAACTCACAGAAACAAGAACCACTAACACTGAATATATACAAAGATACCATCTCCTGGCCAGAAAATCACTGATTACAGAGTCCCAGAGAGAGCTGGGGAACTATCACCATTCCATAAGATCACCTAGTGCTCTTCCCACAGAATCTTCTATGGGCTGCTGTCTGCAGGACACTGAACCACAGTCCATCTGGTCTGCAAAAATGCAGCCAGTATTGTTTATGCATCAGGGGTCTGAACCTAAACCTGTTTCAATCAGAAGGTGGAGAATTCAGTCAAGTACTCTTTATTCATTCAAGTTATAGGATTAATTCTAGAAACTAATGTCTGTTCTAGCTTTTCTCATATCTACCTCCAGCTCAGAACCTGCAATGCATAATATTTATCCTTTGATCCAAAAGAATACTTGGGAAGCTAAAGATCGAGTCATTTGTTCTAAAACATAGAAGTCAAAATGAAATTGAGAAGATAAAACTGATGTAAATGAAAACTCCACTACACTCGGACCTGCTGATAGCCAAATTGGCTTTGTGCCACAGAGATGATGTACAGTGACTGCAGTCTGTAGTACTGTGAGGAACACTGACTGAATGCCAGAACTTCAGTGTCATTTCCTTGATCCCAATTTCTTTGGTTCTGAGATATCTGGCAAAGGATTAACTATTATGGAAATACAAATACTGAAGACTGATGGTCCAGTTTTTAAAAACACACTGGGATTGCTGCCTTGCTCCAACCTTTGTCCACTTCAACGAACTCTCAAATGCTTTATTTGGTTTCTAACCCATTTTAATCCACTTTTTCTGTTTTAACCAATATATGATCTATTGCCCCAAATAAATTCTTTAGGATATAATATTGCCCAGATAAGCTTGGTTTAAACTACCCAGGAAAACCCAGCTGAAACTATGTTATTAAATCTTTAAGAAGAACTACATTTAAAAAAACCAAAACAAAACAAAAAAACCCCAGCCCAAACACACAAAAAA